TTTCGCGTCCGTGCCGACTACCGACAAGGTAAAAGTGTATAGAGGTAAGGAAAATTGTCCGTAGGTTCTGTGGTTATGTCAACAGAGACGCCTTGATTTCGACTTGTTTTTATTATTGGCCGAATCGCGCAACAAAGAATGCAAATGTCGTAATTTTGTCGTAATCTGTTTCATTTATCTTCTTCAACAATTCTTACAATTTGGCCAGTAACAGGAATCTGTCTAAACCGAGGTGACATTGTTGCTATAATTATTGACTGGATCATCGCCAGTGGGCGCCTACCCCTTATTCTTGTAGATTTTTAGCTTGCTATACGTAGTTGGCACAGAGTAAAGAACGAATATACTAGGAAGAAAGAAAACCATGAATCAACCTTTCGTTGTTTGAATAGTTAAATTATTTATTTGCAGCTTTACATTTTAGATATGAAAGCTCGAAGTTACTATTACGGCGGCATTGGATCACAAAGGGTTGATACATTTTATATGGGTCACATAAAAGTACGTTTTTCGTACACCGAGGTAGAAGTAATAAAGAAATGTTTGTGTTTATTTGAACATTTTATATTAAAAGTAAAAGTTTAATTTCTTTTAAGTATCATTAAAAGTACTTCTATTTGCGATGGAAGTTCTTGAAAACATTGAATAATAAATAAATGTGTTGAATGTAATTGATATTAGTTAAAATAAGCAAACTAGCCCACATACTGCGTTAACATGAAAATTATTGGGGTTCAGGTTAAATTGGTATCTCGTTTTTGTTTAGAATTTCAGAGTGAACGATTGTGTACATAAAGAGTGTATCAATTGAAAGAGTTTTATTATTTTTGACAATATAACAGTATACGTAAGTTTGATGTGGTTGCTATATATATATATCTAGAGAAGTGAATTTTTGAACTGGAAGTTCTCACCATGTTTCTTCCAAATTAGAAAAACATAACATTGAAATGCTTCTTGCAGAAGTAATACCGGAAGAAACATTTTTAAGTAAAAAAAACACGAATTCTTAAGCTGAAAAATTTTCGACCATGAAAAAAACTATTCCAGCATCCAAAAACCGATATTGGTAAAACTTCATTACAAGTGATTCAAATGATAATTAAACTTTAGTTTTGCCTACATTTCCCGTAAAGCATACACGGAATAAAAACGACTTTATACAACACAGTAAAACACACATCATTTTCTGTTAATTTAAACAGACTTTTTATTTTATTACAATTTTTTGCATTTTCGTTCTACTGCACTTTTGTTATACCAGAAATATACATATTCACGTCTCACTGCACGCAAATTATTCTATACTTCCACTATACCGATCCACTATACCAGTGTGTTTATAATCTCCACACATGCTTTACAGTACTAACTCGAAATTTCGGGAATATAACGGAACGCAATTCGCTAATGACTTCGGTCCGACCACAGAACTACTCTTTGTGTAGTCAGATTGACATTGCTCGATTCCCTCTTGTGTACTAGTAACGTAATAGGAAATGTTGCAGTCTGATTGCGATGCATCAGCGTAATTCTCGGTATATATGATCGCCGGTTGTCGCTCGCGTTCCCATCTTGAACGTGAAATTACATCTTTCCCGCATGAACGCACAATGTTCCGGCGAATTTGACGCGTCAGCGTTCCACCGCCGGGGAACAGGAACGAAAGGGACTCCCGAGCAAAGACGGGTGGATGGAAAAGTACCGAATCGCAGCTGTGGAGAAAGGAGATGAGGGTTTGGGGCATTGTTTGAACTGCAAACGAGGAATATCGGCGTGTCCCTGCCGCCCTTGTAGTCTCGCGCGAACCCCCGTAATTGTCTCTTGTATTACGATAAGAAGAAAAGATCGTGCGCCACAAGTGGAATGTAATTAATGCTGCCGCCTTTGAACATTCCTTTCTCATCTTTTATTACTTTGCTGTTAACAGCTTATAAATAAGTACAGTATTGTACGATTTTTGTAACATTAAGAATTTAGACTACCTGTTTGTTGTTTTTATTGCGCAGTGAAATGTGATAACGAGGAGTTACTATATTATGCACTGTTTGATATGCGTGTAATTTAATTAATTTATGGGTAAAATATAATTTATGCAAAAGTAGTTGTTTTTAGTTACATAAAACTTACAAATTTTTCTATGAAGACGAACTAAATGTTAGTAGCCTGTATATGTTTTATCGTAGGATTTAAATTAAGAATTGCGTCAACGTAAATCTACTAATTAATTCATTAACTGAATTATAACAATCTACGAACCGTTGAACCAATTTTAATTATATATAAATTTTGTAGTATGTATTACTTATTTATAAATTACTGATCTTTACATTAATAATTATATTTGAACTAGCATATTTTAAAATTAAAAACCAATTCAATGATTACAATAATTATTATGATATGCCTTACATTACCCTTAAAATGCTCTTTCCATTAAAAATAAAACGTTTCTATCATCCAAGAAACTAATATAACATTACATAGATACAAAAAAACAATTCATTAAAATTCCCATAAAACAAGTAAAAATTCAAATCTAAAGCTGTCATAAGACACAACTAAATCTAAGGGTACCAAATCAACGTTCACGAATATCTGACATATGTAACCAACTCGACAAGCTCAACCCATTAACGATCAAGATCGCACAGGAATCCTTCTGTATGCATCCGTCGATACACGCCGAAAGCCCTCGGCATGCTTTGCAAATAATCGATTGCCGATCGACTCGACGAGACGACAAGTCGTTTCCATCGAACAAATAATTTCGTCCGAGCTGATCACCACGGATGCTTCGATGCATCGTCCGGCATATCAGATCCGAGCCCACTTTACCCAGCTTCATACCCATTATCTTCCATTTGAAAGACAGCTACGCCGCAAATAGCTCAGCCTCGAATTCCAATTACATTTGACGAGATCTGGTTGTTACACGAATATTTGCAAATGCTAACGCGCCTTTGTATCCCTGTGCACCTTCGATACAGTGTACTGGGTGTACCTATAATCGTGGTACAACCAGTTCGGAAATCTTTGTATGTAGAAAATGAAGTGGAAAATAGAGAACAACATTTTTTCTTATGATTCTTCATCTTCGAGACAATAGCGTTTGAAAATTTGTTGATCGGTCATACTGTTGAATAGGAATCGTCTTATATGTCTGTCCGTAACTTGCCATTTCCACTTGTTATAAACTCTAATGCGGGCGTGTTGAATAACTCGAACTCGATTCGAGTTGATCTCTGAAATGAAGACTTCTATAAGCATATATTATTCTATACTACTGACTTATTTTTGTATGTGGATTTACTCTCAATTTTCGAAATCAATTATCTTGGGAATGAAGTCTCCAATGAGAACATTTTATTCTATGTTTTGGATTTATTTTTACATGTGAGGTAACTAATCAGTTAAGGTTATATGAATATAAGTAATTTAATATAAATATTTATAGTATAATTTATATTAACCTCTCAACTGGAAAATTAAAAACGTCTCTTTTCTGGTGGGTATTTTTCCTCGCGTGTTGACGGAATTCCACGTCATAAAAAGTACAATAATATAAACAGTCTTCCATATATATCAATCATTACAATTGTATAACGTGCACACACCGTACCATTTTAATTTTAATATAAACACAACAAGATTTGACGTCATACCCAGACAAAAAGTAAAAATATAAATATCAATATTTACATTCTACATTTACATTTATAATAAAAATTATTGCGCTGAAAAGACCTACCACGCACATCCAGATGTTTTGTTCCAAAATTGCTAACGACGTCTTATACACATAGATAGTCCTGGTGCATCACGCACACTAGATTCTTTCGAAATGCATCACTCCATACAAAATTATTAATAACAAAATTAGTGTACACATCTGCGTAAAATAGGTGAAAACGAAATTCTTCGTGTAAGAGTGTTAGATCTTTGAATTAATTTTCAGCGCTAGAGGTTAACTATCTAGTTATCTGTACATTTACCTTACATTCGCTCTTCACACATTATTGTGCTACGATTTCGAAAACACCCTGTACAGGGATGAAATACTCGTGCGAAAACAGAGTCGGTGACGCCCCGGGCGGAACGGTGCGAGCAACGTGTGCGTGAAACGCGTGTAATAAGCAAACAAAACGACCGAGACCGGGATATCGTGGCGGGCTAATTAAGTTTTGCTCTTTGCCCGTATTATTTTCTCGCCCACGGTGGCCGGCTCATCCCCCCGCCCCCCTGACGGCAGCAACGCGAATGTACGTCAGGATGACGCCCTGACGAAGGCGCGGCCCCGGCGCAACAAGTGCGAAACGCGCGAAACCGACCCACGTTTTTCTCCTGTTTTCTTTCCTTCGTGATCCCGCTCCGGGCGTGAATATACTCGCCGATCGGGACGAATGAAAGAGGATCTCGTCGTATGTTCGGGAGCACGGGGAAACTTTATCGATTCGATCTGGGTTTTATTCAGGATCGTGGAAGTATTTTATTGATCAGTGTTTCGGAATGTTATTATGTACAGCAATTGTATGTTGACGTAATGAGGACTTTTTAATAGTTCTGTGGATTAGAAAGTCATGTGATAATAAGTTAATATATAGTGTAATTAAAGTCGTATTGTTTTATGTGGTACGAATTGAAAATGTAGAATAACATTTTACATTGATAATTAAAGTGTAGTTTAAGTGGTTTTAATATAGTTTTGATATAATGTAAACTAACTTTTTACAATAATACAGGTATTACACTATTAATAGCACAACGCGTCTACTATTTAAATTTGATATCTATAGAAACTTTAATAACTTTAATTAATAGTTTGACTTTAATAAATAATAATTGGTTTAACTTCGACATTTGAATAGTATTTATGATAAAGCATATATAAGCCCTTAAATTCAAAATTGTTAACCATGGTTACTAAATGGTGTATATACATAAATATGTTAATTAATATGTAAAATGATACTAACTCATTAATTTCATATTCATTACAGGGAAAAGAACCCGCTGATGCGGAAAAGGTATGTGGTTCGGACGGAAAGACCTATGACAACGAATGTTCACTGAAGGCTGCGTCATGTAAATCACAGACCCATATCAATGTCAGCTACATAGGAGATTGCGGTAAGTTATCTAAATTATACTACTACAAAATTTACTGCGTTCTCCATTAAGTCGTATTTCTAATGTTCGCCACTGATTCCTCATAATCTGAGAACTTTTTACTTCTGAGTAATCCATCCAGAAACATAAGATATCACTTCGCCTTCTTATTAATTCATTCTCATTCTTAAAAATTTAAAGTAATTCTATAATCTTCATTCCTTATTCAATAGAAATTTTCTATTTAAATTCTTTCGCACCACAATTAATTAAGAAAGTTGAAAATAACAGACATCGAGTAATATTTCAAACATTCATAATTCTATAAAAGGCAAACCTGCATCTTCTGAATTATTGTAATTTTATATGAACGTCGTTATAAAATTCCGCCTTATTATAACTAAACCTATCCAAAACTGGTTAGAAACGATATAAAGAATTAAAAATAAAACTAAACAGTATATAAATACTTATTTCTAATACCACATTTTCTTATCCCAATATTTATATACATAAATATTACACAGTCTTAAAAAACATATAATTAATCCTAAAATTCACTTATAAGCTGTGTTTTCCCAGTAATTATTTTCATTTCAACTAAAAAGGGACTAAATTGCTACCGTAATAAAGATCAATGGAGAGCGTAGTACGCTTTGAAACTCGAGGAGAACTCGTGATGTGGGTTCGAAGACCCTTATGTCTAAAAAGCAAAGAAAAGAAGGAGAAAATATCCTTTTCAGAACTTTGCGCGCGAGTCGAGTGCGAACACGGCGCTCACTGCATGGCCGGCGTGTGCGTTTGTCCGGAAGAGTGCCCGGAGAGCACAGGAGAACCCGTGTGCGGCAGCGACGCTAAAACCTACCCCTCAGAGTGCGAGCTGCAGAAGGCGGCATGCGGCAGGGATCCTAAATTGCCGGTCTTGCACGTGATATTTTACGGCGACTGCGGCGAGCGATTTGCTGTAGCAGCATTGAGTACGTTTCCCAACCTTTTTATTGGACGCACCTTTTTATTGAACACAAAATCCTTCGAATTATCCACGTTTCAAACTAAATTTTCCCATCAACTTCGGAAAGGCGGGTGGTCTGCTAGTCTCCAAGCATCGAATCTTTAAACTGCATTCGGTTTGTTGCACGTAAACTGGTGGTTATATGGATTCGTTTCACTTTATGAGGCAGCTAATTTTATAATGATAACACTATTTCACGAAATTTAACTCTTTTATTGACTACTTGTTAATGGATGATAGTCGATTTGTAGACACTTAGATACTCACCACTTGAGTTGGAAAAATTCGTGGTCTGATCTGTACGTAATAACAATTTTTGTTACTTTCTTATCGTTGTTATATTCCACGCTAAGAACATGAACAACTGAGCTATTCGTTTGCAAAATATTAATACCACAAAATGAAATTTTAAAAATTTCTGTGAAATATGAAAAATAGAGTTAGCCACTACATAAACCACTCAACAACAAATTCATTACTCTGTTGAAATTTCTCCCGAATTAACGATTAAAAAGTTAAATAGTCTACGTGACACAATCATCGACCGAATTCTGAGTCAAGTGGTCGAACTTCGTTAAAAAAGAAACCACCAGAAGACTTTTCGACGAACCAATAGCTATTAACATGACAAAGGCACAACTAACTCGAAAGAACTCGGCAAACCAGCTCCAACCCCCATTCTCCGTCCGGGTGTCAAACTTAACCAGAAACCCCTTAAAAACGTCCCGTAACGAACCGACAAAGTCTGCGCTAACAACTTTAACTAGTCGATCCGTCCCCCTAACCACTGACCAACAGCGACGATGTCGACGCCTGCGGTGGTCCGCGTCGCCACCACTGCAGTTGACGTGACCAGCACCCAGGGCCGCGGGGACTGCAAGAACATCAAGTGCGACTTCGAGGCCACCTGCGAGCTGGGCCCGGACAGCTATCCCAGGTGCAGCTGCAAGTTCGACTGCGCCTCGATCTCGCCGGAAAACATGCGCCCGGTGTGCGGCAACGACCTGAGGACCTACTCGTCCCTCTGCGCCATGAAAATGGAGGCCTGCCAAAGGCAGCAGGAGCTAAGACCTAGACCCCTTGACCTATGCCAAGGTTCGACCAGAACCCGAAAACTTGCGTCCAACCTCCCCTGCACATCGACTAATTGCGTTTGATTGCTGGGAACTTGCACCCGACCGGCTTAATTGTTTCGTTACACGTCCCTACCCTGCTTCGCTGTTTGGTTGATTTGCTAATGTGTTTGTTAACGACTTGCTTCCTCTGACTCTCTTTAAGAGTTTGCTAGGTGTTTAGTTGTCAAATAATTCATTTGATTATCTGATTGTTAATTATAGTTAATTTCATACACTTTTTTATTCTTCTTCTTGTTTAGCTATGGTATCGTTAGCACCCTTAACGATATCATTTTTTTGAAGTATTGTTAGTTATTTGCATTTTCGAGTAAGGTAGTAACACATAATTATCATAAATGTACTTTTGAAAAACAGTACATATATTTTACTAAAGTTTGTCCGTAATACAGGTATGGAAGTGAAACCTTGTAACGGTGATCCTCCGATTGTGGACGCCGATGGAAAAGAGTATGACTGTGGAAATGGACCAGAACGAAGAGATTGCCCAAGTAACAGCTACTGCCATCAAACCACACGACTCGCTCGATGCTGCAGAAAAGGTCAGTTCAGTTTCAATAACCCATTTCAAAACCGAAAGTATTATCAGTTTTGTTTTAAAGTATTAAAGTATTATATTATTTTAAAGTATTAAAGTATTATCAGTCTATTTTATATTCTAAATATAAGTTTGTACTTTAACGATATGCATAGTATTAACAGAAATTACAAAATATAAACAAAAATATACACAAAAAAATTAGAAAACGTGGCTCTGATCTTAATGATCAGATATTCGATCATAATTTATAAAGAAAAGCGATTTATCATGGTAATGAGAAATAAATGAATATTGTGGGCTCAGCTCAAGAAACTCAAGTGGTTAAGTGTTCGGACTCCTGGCACGGATGTTGTCCGGATGGGAAAACTGCCGCACGCGGACCAAACGGTGCAGGTTGCCCAAGTTTGTGCAACTGCAACAGGTTGGGCAGCGTCTCGGACACTTGCAATCCAGAGACCGGGCAATGCGAGTGCAAACCAGGCGTGGGTGGCGAGAAATGCAACAGATGCATGCCGGGTTACTGGGGGTTGCCCAAGATAAGCGAGGGTCATCAGGGATGCATACGTAAGAACGTTTTGTCAATTGGAGCTATCATATACATTCATACATTTCTAAATTCTAATCACTTTTACATAGGTACTGTCACTCAAGACACTACATAACTTGCAAAATTTCAAATATTTGAAGTAAAAAAAATAATGGTTTCATTTTAAAGATATGAATTCCTGAATTCCTGAATTTGTATTTCAAATAATTCTTTACGTTTCTGTATATTTGTTCATATATTTCCAGATAAATTTTGAATAAAAAATGATATTTATACCATTATAAATTTCGTCTGATTCATAATTCATAATTGATCAATTTAATTTTTCATAGTCGATAATGCAGAAAATATAATTATCTACAGAAATTTTACGTCTGTTTTATTTATATTATTTGTATATTTGTAGTGTTTGTTTACTTACATTTTAATCACGGATTGAATAAAATTGTTTGTGATATTGATGATTGATAACATTAAGATTGGCATGTACTTAATATAGAACTATATCTTATTGTATGATGCTTCAGCTTGCGGCTGCTCGCTCTTCGGCTCTGCGAGAGAAGACTGCGAACAAATGACAGGTCGCTGTGTCTGCAAAACGGACATCCAGGGTCAAAAGTGCACAATTTGTGCCGACTACAACAAGATATTAACACCGACTGGTTGCTATTCAGGTATCATATGAAAGGGTGACCTATTGGTGTTTATTGATGATTAATATCTACTGTTTTAAAAATATTTATAATCCATAAAAGGCATTCGTCAACTATCTATAATTAATATTAGGAACAAACCCTAGGACTAAGTTGATTCAGGAATTTCAATTAAACTCTCAGACATATTCGCATGTCCTATAAAAATTCTATTGGCATTTTCATCGATAAACGCATTTAACACTAAAACTACCAGATGGGGCAAAATGACCCATTCTTGATGTCTACCTTTTGTAATTATTAAAAAGATAACAAATATTTCTCTAAGAAATTATTAAAGAAATTGATTCAATGCCACGTAAACTGAAATGTAAATCGATTAAAGTCTCGACAGATGAACTCTTGGAGTTTCTACAGAGCAATTTTAAAAACTCAGTATAACTGCTTGGTACTTTTAGCATTAATGAACAGATCATGCAAACGTGAAATATTAAATATAACTGTGTTTTACCATGTTTGAACATGCTACACACTTTTAAGATAAAAAATATTTTATCCGAAGATTAATTGAAATGAATTGATATGAAATTTATATTAACGAATATTTCGTTATTTAGCATTGAAATCAGAACTTGAAAAATCGGATTTATATTGTGATTGGTTATATTAATTAAAAGTATTGATTGCTTTAATAAATGGATGTATCGAATGTATTGATACGCATATTCCTTATAGCATGTCATTTCCCGAACGTACTGTCATGTTTATAATAGTCAAAAATTGCTTGATTTTTCGTAGTAAAAGCTTCTCGTATATACAAAACAAGCTAGAAAAAGGGTTTTATAAAATTGACATATGAAATTCGACACTGTCAATTAAATACATATTTTATCCAGATTAGAGTAAACCAGCATTGATCAGTGGAAGTTGGCCTTACGATTTAAAATCTACATATATATATATAAATTCTCCCCTAAATGATTGCAAAACAATTGCACATAAAATTAAAGAAACAACTTTCTAACATATCACACATAAAATAAATCTATAATTTATACTTCTTCATTCACAGAACTTCAATACACCACTTTCCTTAAACACAAAAAATAATCTACTTCGTATTTTTCATACACTATGTCCTCAAAATCAATATTCATATCAATACCCTTATCACATATATCCACAACTATGCAAATAGGTTTTATCGTATTCCATTTAACACATTCATTAATAACAACTATTGCAATACTAGTCTGCATAGTTACAATACTTTATAAAATGCAGTATTATTGTCTTCGCTAAATACGAATAATATTTAAGGAAAGATCTCGTCAACTTGACAAGTTATAAAAATACAGGTTAAAAGTAATTTACATTTTTCTATGAAAAACACAAAATGGTGATCGTCACAAGTATGTGACGTCGGTAGCGAACAGATTAACACATTCTTACACGATACAAGTATAATTGAATAAAATTTGACGTTGCAATTATAACACCTCTTATACCATACATCAAGTTATAAAGATACAAATTACATGCAATTCACTTTTCTTTAAGAAAAAAAAATGGAAATGGCAATTATCAGACTTCGTACGCGATATAAGTATAATTGAATAAGATTTCACAGTGTAATTATAACCGATCGATCAAAGCATTCCAACGTAACGGATCGTATCTGATTGCAGCGGACACGATACCACCGACACCGACGTCCTGCAACGAGCTGGAATGTTATTCCGGCGGCCAATGCTCGGAGATCGGTGGCCCGCACTGTGTCTGTCCGTCGTCCTGTCCATCGGACATACCGTCGGTCCCGGTTTGCGGTAGCGATGGACAGACATACGACAACGAATGCGAACTAAGGCTCTACGCTTGTCGCCACCAGGCAGACGTGGTCACGCAGGCCTTCGGCCACTGCAAAGGTGGGTTCACTGAGCGCACTCCGTACAGGTCTCCTTATATGATACTATATGACCGCGTCACTAACCCCCGGCAAAACCGACGGGAGCAATTTTCACGTTTGGAATCAACTCTCGGACAGGAATCCCATAATGCCGACAGAAATATTGCGCGTGTCCTCTAGGATTGTTCAGCTCGCAACCTAGTCAGCCATTACTCCAATTATAGAATAATAACTCGTGAAAACAATTATTCAAAGTTTGTTTTACTTTGCTTTCTTTATTTCTAATATAATTTTTCTACCAGGTAATTGCGATCATGGATATTTGGATAGATCATTTTTGGTCAATCGAAATCCTATTGTACGTTCATGATTTTTCGTAGGTTACCTTTTGCGACAGAGATTTCATAGAAACTAGTGAATCAAAATTCTGATTTAAGAAATTTGAGATGCATTGTAATGTTTCTCTTAGCGCAAATAATGAGTTGGTATTACTTCACACCGAGAAATTCGGGTTACGAGATGATGTCTCAGATACACCCGTGTATGAAGTTCTGAAAAGTTCTAGCGTTTTCATAATCACGTACACGCTGTTCCCCGTATCTGTATGAATTGCGTGTTATTTTTTTTTTCGTAATTATGATCATAACGTTTTCAAATTGAATAATTCATAAAACAACAAGAGTTTATTTGTATTTCAATTGAAATACAATTGCGCTCGAGTTAATCAGTTAATTACAAAATCAATTAAATGTTCAAATAAAAACTAAATTGAAGAACCAGATCGAATTGTACGGTACACATTTGAATAATATTCCCGAAACACAATTTTAATTAAAAACAAATAAGCATAGTAGACACTTGAAATGAACGATTTTATAATACTTGGCACAGCCACTAACGTTGTATTCCAAAAAGTTGCTTCATTACAATCTATCGACAATGAAGAACGCAAGAACTTTCCTCAGGAACTGTAATTTTTGTTTTCTAGTCCTCTTTCAGGCCTAATTTTCCTGTAGACGATGAGCAACGAATACGACACGCAGCAATGTTAACGTTAGGCAGCTAACGAAATAAAAGAAGATGTCGTTGGAACGTGAGAGTCTTAACGATTTCGAGGGTTTAAGTATGATATAAAATCTAAAATAGCAGATAGTACTTACGTAAAAGATCGAATCTCTAGGATGACGTGTTATTTAGAAATCGATGGTACGATACCGTAACATTAAAGAAACTGTTGTCGCTTAGGAGACGTCGAAACGATCGCGCGGCTAGGACTAACGAAACTAACAACTTGTTCCTTTGTATCCATTACGTGATAATAAACTTATCAAGTTTCTACTAACATGTATAAATATATGTTTATAACCCCCTTGCCCGCTACTTTGCTTGCTTTCTTCGTTTTCGTCGTCGTGATTAACGGTAAAAGCTCATTTATGGAGACATCCGATCAACTTTCCTAGGAGAAAGAAAGCAAAGTGAGTACTAATAACAAAGTTTCTTCGACAGCTCAAAGTGCTGCAGATAGTAAACGTATTTCTTGATTAGTACACTATAAGCAGTACATCTATAAATAATATTTGCATCGATGAAGTATTGATTCCTATTGTAGAACTAAATTTGCATTATTCTTCAAATGATTGGTGGACGATCGACATAATCTGATGTAATCTTTAATGAATTTTATTTATTTATTTATGTATTTAATTTATGATTTATAATGTTTTATTTCTTTATTGGAGAATTCTTGGATAAATAAGTAGTCTCAATCAGTAATTACAAAATAATATTTAGAAATAAACAAATTTTCATGTTCTATTAGTAATTTATTATTTCATATTATATTGATATCAATACGATTTTATACATTATTATAAAATAGCCACTTTTCTTTAGGGATTATTAAAAGACTGTAGAAATTAATTCATTTAACGAGTATTATATTAAATATTAGATTTTATTTATTGTTGATTTCTTCAACTTTTTTCGTAAAAACAAATATTTGAATAAACTTCTGGAATCTTCTTTACGGTTCCTTCAAATAGTATGGTAAGTGATGCTTTTGGTAGGTACGATACACTAAACGTGTTTCTCACTATTGAAGGCTTAGTTAGTGTACAGATTAATCAATATAATTAAAATATGACGATGTCCTTTTATTTTATGCAAATTTCGTAATATGTACAAAATACAAATAATTGAAATGAATTAAAAAGTCCTTACCTCAATGAACCATAATGTACAGTTTAGTTTATTTCAAAACAAAAAAGAGGCATATTAAAGTTTCTTTACTATACGTACGTATAGAAGAACTCGAGATAAAATGCAGAGTCAACCTTGCGACATAGTACAAGAGACACGTGCAGTAAAATGCTCTTACATATTTTATCAGGTTGAGACATGAAAGCAACGGTTTGCGTTTGCATCTCCGACATCCGCGACAACATACACGCATACGATCTTCTTTAGAAAATATTTTAATCTCGTTATACGAAGACAGTAGCGATCTTTTCCCACGTTTTACATGTGCGGCATTATAGAAGGAGAGTACGAATTTTTAATCAGGTTATAAGGATACTGCGTTGCAAGAGAACATCAGATATTTTTTTATTGCGTTACGCGTGGATAGCAGTCACTTTTTAATAGTGGTACACGTGCATAGAACGGTAGCAATTATTTAATTGTGTCATAAGATTACTGTGTTCTACGAGAAAAATTGCAATATTTTTATCGCATTACACAAAGGCAGCAGCAACTTTTTGTCGCATCGCAAGAGTACCACATTACAAAAGACCAGAAGCAAGGTTTTGATCGCATTATACAGCAGTAGCAGCATTGTTCTGAACACGTTATACGAGCTCCTATTGTACATTCTTTCTAACGCAACACTGAAACTATATTGGTACACAAAAGTATTTAAAATCCATACATTTATAACAGAAATATTGTGCTCATCGAATTTATAGATATTTTCATATTTTTGTGTATGATACTTGCAGTACACGTAAGAATAATGTGTATTAATTTCATTGAAATCGAGTAGTACACATCTGAAATGTCCATTTCTCTTACAAGCATATCAATTTTAACACTATTACTGTCAAATGAGTCAAATTGTCCCATTCCTGAATTCTTCTTACCCAATTATTAAAAAGATGCCAGATGTTTCTCTGAAAAAGTACTAAAGAAATTGAATGCATAACACGCAAACTGAATCAGAAGTCAATCGAAATCTCAATAACTGCAATCTTAGAGTTCCTACAAAGAATTTTGGAAAAATCAATTCTACCTAGCTCTAAATACTCTTATGACCGAGAGCAGAATATCTTACAAATAAACCAACTCTCGCACACTCATCCCACGGTAAATCCATGAACATCCATTTTCCTCCGCAAAACGAGATGAACCGAATCGAACAATAGGAATTTAAAGAGTCAGTCCGACCTGAAGATCCACGGAACTTCCTTCATCCCCGGAGTGCGGTATCTCGCTCGTAGGTAAATTCCAGGAAAGTTGGTGACGTTAACTCGCGAAACTAAGCGGCGAAGGTGGATTTAACTAAATCACCGTCGACGACCAGGCGAAGTCTCGTCTTAAGTGGTCCCGGTGAGATATGCCGAGGCCCGGCGAACTTAACGCCGGGTGAACCTTTAAGAATACCCGGTAACCGAATGTGTCTTACCGGCGCAGCCGTTAAGCGCGGCCCTCGGTCAAAATAAATTAGCCAGCGAGAAGTTAAAGCTCGGTCGAACTTCCCGATCGAACCTTGTACCGACTGCTTTTTGATACCGTT